TTTTTTTTTTTTTTGGATTATTCAGTACACCAAAAAACTTTGGGCTACATAACGGATCAGTTTTATTTCTAAACACAGCAAACAGGATTTGGTTAGAGGCGCTTTACTGAGATCATGAAGGACTAAATCGATAGGTTGATGCAGTAGTGAGAGTGAGTTCAGAGGGCAAAAGTTTAACAATAAACATAGTTGATCCAGTCCTAAAGATTTGTGACACGGCTTGAGAAACGGTTAAGGGCTTCACAGTTCAAATGCTAAGAAATAAATAAACTGTTGGCACATAAACTTGGGAGAAGCACACGTCTGTTTGAAGTTCTGCGACATTTTTAATAGAAACCCGTTTTGTAACGAAACATTTATAACTGGTGTTTGAAACGCCGTAGTAACCTCTGTAGGGTGTTACTGTCAAATGAATTCATCCATATGAAAGGTTTAAATCAGCAGTTGCTTGTCGACTTTAACTAAAATTTTAAAAAGAGATTTAGTTCATGACAATTGGGAAGACAGGCAAAAACTTCAATTTCGCGAGCATAACCCTTGTGGGAGTAGTATGACCAAGATGGGCAAGTAACTGAAGAAGTCATTTTGCCGTCGATAAATTAATTATTGACATCTATTAACAGGAAGTGTCCTCGACCAATGACGTATCATTTTACTATACCGACGAATGCTACATGGGAAATATTTTTTCCAGAAGCCACGGTAATGTTGACCGATAGTACTTGAAATCGTAACCGCTCTTTTCGCTAAAGTAAACCCTGACTGTAACCTACTTTTAAAACGCCACCCACTAAATTTTGAAGTAACTGAGGAATATCAAGTTCCGTTCTTGTTGACTTTTCAAGAACAAGGAACTTACCACTGGCTCTGTTTACTTTACATAGCAACACGCCAAAGTTTTGTAACTAGTGGCGGGTCTTTCATGCTGCAGTTCGTAAAGAGCAAACAGGAGAATTTTATTCAACAGTAGTTCATTAAGCTCAAATTTTTAGACCGGCAAGGAATCAATGTCGAACTCCAACACTTCAGCCATTCATTGCTTCTTCTTCTTCCTGGATTTTTGGTGCCAAGAAGAACCGAAGATAACTAGTACTGTCCTCATCAATTGGATATTCCACTACTACCGGGAGATCATTGGTCATTGAAAGTTTTACCTACAGACAGATTATCACATTGGCAAGGTTTATTAAACTGAACAAAAAGAGGTTCAAAAAAATGACCCATCAATGAGTACTAAGTACTAATTTGTCAATGGCGCAAAATCTGTCTGAAATTAAATAAGAATTTAAAGCAAGTGGTGCACCTTGTCTGAAAGACTAGTGGCTTTCGCAAAATGGTTCATATATTTGATCGAGAAGTTTACGCTAACCGGCTCTTTGACAGACAGAGCGATCGACTAAAAAATTTTCTAACACTACCATTTGCATAAAATTGTATAATTTTAAAAAGCCTATAACGTCAAAACCGCTCTGGAAATGACGAACATTAACCACATCAACGGGAAGTGATCTTTTAAAATTAAACAAGGAATAAACCATTACATTCTCATCGTCTGCACTGCCAGATGGAGCATAGTTAGCAACGGTCGAACCCGTCTCACCCTTACCGGAGAAACTAACTCCAGCTTTCGTTACGGAAATCAGCACTGAGTCGGAAAACATTGCAAGGTCTCTGCATGTCTTCTAAAAAAGTTTTTACATCACTAAGAAGCTGCTAGGGAACAGTAACTAGGTGTGCTATAAATGCAACCATTAACTGAAATAATTTATAAATCTATGCCACCTAAACATAGCCGTTAAGTTCTGACGAAATCTTTCATTGGCGAACTGTACCAGATAAATGAACTAAACTGTAACAATTTTGGAATTATCATTAATAGAAACTCATTATTAAAGAACGCTTTCAGCTTTGCCACCAATCGATCCAGAAGAGATTCAACAACTTAACCTGAAATTCGATAGACGGCAGTGTAACAACTGCTGAATGTTCCTGTTCTGGAATTCCCAAATGTTCGTTGTCTATATCCATTATTCGTACGGTTACCTCTTGCTTCCTGCCCTAAAAATCACATAATACTGAAAAAACCTCCACTTGATGCTCAGTAATGAAAAATGAGACATAATTAACCATATTAAGCACTTCAAAAACTTGACGTACAACTCGAATAAGCTACGAAACCCACTCGCTTGACATCTTCAAAGGCAAAAATCACATTGTCATCTTCTTCATATCGTATCATGCACGTATCATCGCTATTAGCACACTTTAGGGCTTTAGCCATACTGGCAAAGCTCATCCCTAAATTGATGGTGCGGTCACACCGGTAGCTTTCAAATAAGGTGGAGGCCAAATTCAATGACACTAAAGCTACATGAGATGAATCCATTGCCTAAATCAAAATAGTTCATTTAACTCCCAGACAAATAGGGAAGAAATGACCAAATACTAGGTCTGCAGACCTGTAAACACATGGAATTTTCTGTGCAATCAAAAGGAGCGTCGGTGACCAGGTCTTTAACAGCTTCAACAATTTTCTTCAACAACGCAGCAGCAGCTAGTTTAGCCTCGAACATGTTTAATCAAGGATGCCTAAAATTGAAAAATTCAAAATGAACAAATATTATGTCCTGTATGGGATCTCGTGGAAAAATTTTAAATAGCTTCTCAAAATAATTTAAAGTTTGAGATTCTATATCTACCATGCCGCTTCACAAAACCGCATATGTGTATTTTAGTTACAGAGGAAAGGAGAAGTCTGGCATATAGCCTTTAAAGATAATCTCAAGCTCTTAAGATGATTTACAGATAGAAAAGTGCAGAAAAAAAAAAGAACCAAAAAACCCAAATCCCTCAGTAATTACAGAAACTTCCAGTTCTTTGTTAACGAGTTACGTCTCAACTAAAGAATTTACCAAAAAAACCTTTCTTCATAGATAAAAAAATTTTATGGAGGGAAATTGCGCGGACATTTTACAGCTTTTTACGATGAAATTCCGTTTTAATAATGGTGGAATTTGAGCTGAGTGGTTCAGTTTGAAAATTTAAGTTCTCTTCATTATGGCGCGATTTCGCCCCCTAAACATTCAGTAACAGCGACAGCCATTTGAAACGTTTCATATTTGTGGCACTTGCAGTATACGGTAAAATCTACCTGTGTACGATAACAGTATAACGTTATCGCAGGCATAAATGCTGTTTCTCAGAAAACTGTGACGTTATCAGTTTATCTTAAGTTTATCTTTATATATATATA